TGTTTCTGTGCATCGCTGAAAAGGTTCCACCCCCTTCCTGGAGGAGCCATTGCTTGGCAAACTCCACTTGATATATTTCTATCAAAGTTAGATGTGCAATTGCAGACAAAGGTTGGTACCCTGCTCATGATACCAAGCTGTTCATGTGTTAAAGTATAATTATTTGTTAAAGATACTAGTTGCAAATGTATTGGACACTCAATACTACCAGTAAGTCCCTAGAAAACGTTTCTGTGGGGCATCATGGTAGTATCATGGTGCTGAGGTAGAGGCAAAAGTTTTTTAGTCTTTTTACAGTGTAAGGTTTTTAATGTTCATATTTGATAAACAGAATAGCTTTATCTGGCTTGACCATGCTTATCTGGGGTACAGATTTTATCTCTGTTTGGTGTAGTCTTTTATTTTGGCTGATGACTCAAACCCATTACCTTTAAAAAGCCAGGAACCCACCTGAGTTTCCTGCTGTATGTCTTGTGTCAGAGTGTGTTTTATGTGCTTCCCAGCCCTGGAACCCAAAGCACAGATAATTCACAACACAGACAGGATTCCAATACCAATAAATGAAACTGGATATCTGCATTCAAGGACTTATGAGGTCTTAGCTTGCTTCGATGGCCTGTTTCCTATCAAGAATATGAGAAAGGTCACAGTTGAGAGGAAGGAATTTGGCCCAGATAGCGCATTTGGCTGCTAATAGCCTATTGACCAGGGGAGCTCATCAGACTATGTCTTTTAAGAACCCTTTGGAATCTGCTTCAGCAACATGGCTGGCCAGTATGTTCCAGCTACTCATTACTCCTGTTTTTAGAGCAGAACACACAACCTGTTAGTTTTCCACTTGTGACCTTGAGTTCTTGTTTCATTACCTTTTTATTAACGGAGCCAGGTTTTGCAAGGGGAAGCTGAGAGAAATTGTGCTATTGGTGTGCTTCACTCATTACTTGACCAGGAAGATTGTTATACCCACTCCAGGAAACACCTTGGGAATTGCTAGGTATTTGAAAAGCCTGCATTCCAGGTTTATTTAAAGTGAAGCATTCAATTCATTGTCAACAACCCATCTGAAGCCTGATAATAGAGGACAATAGCATCTATTTGTCAACACCTTATGAATGTAAATGGTGAAGCATTATGGATACAGATGTATTGAACATGACACTTGATTTTCATGTTAAAATTGAATCCTGGCATTGGCATATTCCATTTGCAGTTAGATTTCAGATGTGGGAGTTTGTAAAATCTTACTAGAGAGCATCATCAAACACTTATCCTCTTACCAAAAACAATCTAACTACCCAACAAAGGCTTGCTCTGTTCTGTTTGTAGTTGTTAATGATTTTGACTCTGTATTTTGAAGTACAATATGTAAAGTATACAGTATCATGTGTAGGCGAGAGATCTACAGCAAAATGCAGCCCAATGCAAAGTACAGTGGAAAGCACTAAAAAGGAGCAATGTGTAGTGAATCATGCTTTACAGTACCTTGTGTTTCTTATATTGCACTCTAGCATTGACGTTAAAAATGGAGCAATCCCTCTATCTGCTATCTGAGTCAGCATTTATCCTGGGAGAGTGTATTAATTATTTATTGCAATGATATTTTGGCAGTCAGTGTGTGTGGGGGGGTAACTTTCTCGTGATTTGTACAAAGAATATAGACCTTTGCAGCATACTGAAACAAAGGGAAAAAAACTGGAGCACTCTGAATTGGTTTAAAAAAGGAAAGTTTTAAAATAGCAAGATCAATGAATGTCTTAAAATCCAATTTTTCAATATGTATTGTTAAAATGCGATCAAATTAACAGAGATGAGTGGAGATTAGCTTTGCTGTTGCTTTGCCAGTTTGATCTTCTGTTTTTTCCAACAACTTTGAAGCCAGCTGTTATTGAATAGAGATTAGACATTAAGACACACATCTGGCATAAAGATGCTTTTGGGTATTCAGTATTTTGAATAAAATGCCTTTGGGGGCTTGAGGGATAAATTGAGTCTGTAGTTTTATACTACATGCTTAATTAAGCAATGAACCCCTGTAAAAAGGTATTTGATAGCATCTTAATTGAAATGATGAGTTATTTCTTTTACATCCTGAAGCATTCAAGATACAATTGCAGCTACTGTATACAATACCTTGAAAAATAACCCTTATGTCCCGTCCCCCCAAAACAAATAAAAAGTGACAAAAAATAGCTAGCCTATGCATAGGCTTAAATACTTCAAAACTAAATCCTAAATATTGATTTATCCATTGTGTTTTACACAGAAAGAGGAAATAAAGTGCAGTCTGTAGTAGGACAAAGTTTTTATTTTTCTTTACAACAGCGATGGGTAACGCCGATGTCCAGCAGGGTCCAGCAATTAGATTAAATAGATCGCGCCAGAGACGTATTCGTTCCCTCTGTATAGGCATACAAAGTTCAGGACTGCCGAACTATGTCGAAGAATTCGGAACCACAACAATTCAGGCAATAAAATATCGCACGCAGCAACAAATTAAAACGAGAGACTCATACAGTACACTTCACACGTGTTAATACAAGAAGTTGTAATTAACTGTAAACAGCGAGATATGTACACGTTTATTTAACGACTCTTTTCATTCTTCCGGTTCAGTTATTCCTTCTTTCAACACTAAACTCTTGGCAATGCCTGCGTACTCGACATTGCAGTAAATGCTTTTTTAATTCAGCAGCGAAAGACTTGGCCGTGCACTGAGTTATGTAACTCGAGAAAACGTCACGAATGCTTTGCCGATACTGTAAAAGCCAATAATGCACGACGAATTTGAATTTTAAACGTGAATTCGAGAGGAAGTAGATAAAGAGCAGGGTAAGTGGGGAGAAAAGAAGATAACAGAGTCGGTTCCATGATTTAAACTTAGATCAATACCAAATGGAGGCAATTCATGGCACTAGACGGCGCCTTCAACCTTCAGAAGAAAATAAAATTCGTTAAGTATTGGGGGGGATAAAATACTCTGTTCTGCATCAACATGTCTGCTATAAGTGTTTTCTCTCCTATGTCTGTGACTCGTGTCTCTGTCCCAGAGGCAATGATCCTGTTCCAAACAGTGGGAGGGACAGAGAAACCGAGGAATCTCCGCAATGATCATTTGTTCTGTTACTTTTTCTGTTAGGTTCGCTGCGGACTACCGTTTACCAGGCATCAGGTCAATATTAAATTTCTTTGAAAGGGATTAGATGGATACAATGTCTTTAAAAATACAAGAAGACAGGGAAAGGATTAATGACTTCCTTTCCTTGCGTGACATGTTTCAGAAAATGTATCCTCGCATTTCAAATGCTCGGACTAAAATGCTGACAAACTGAAAAGTTTCCAATTAAGGGATTGCCAAATAATGCGTTAATTTAAGCTTTATGGCAGAGTAAAAAAAACGAAATTCCGCCGTTTTGAGTGATTCCGAGTACTATGATAGATCCTATGAATTTATTTCACTGTTCGAAATTTAGGGGACCTATTACTCGCATTTTCTTCCTCAATACAGTCCGAAATATAAGACCCTACTAGCAATAGGACCGATTGATAGTTGAACATCTGAAATTTCGAGTAGGCTACCGTTAAAATTCATTTACTCGGGAAGCCTGGCGTTCAAACACTAATTACAATATAATAGCTTCAGGAACAAATCTAAGGTTAGACAAGAATCACAGAACATCTACCGGTCTTCGTCGACGACGCGAAAAGTTTAGTGACGCCAGTAAAAAAATCACTGACTTGCTTTTTGTACTCGTAAATTAATTCAGTGTATCGTTAGCGGGCAACCATCGAATAGATTCAATATCAATTCGATTTAGCAAGATACAGATGTTGGGAACACAGTATAATTAAGTGTAGATGGGAACACCATACCGAACCACCTGATTATTTGGATGAATTTCAGACCGTTTACAGTGAAATTTGAAGAATCAGTGATGGGACAGAGATTATTTCCGACATTTTAGTGGACTACACGTGGACTGCATTTAGGTTCATTATTATGTTTTGCTTGCTGGTTTTGAGGTTTTGGTTTTGATCCACGCAATCCCCTGAACGCGTAGAGGGTTAATTGCTTGACTCTGATGAAACCTTATTGATTTATGTGGATGATAAATATTGCATTATGTGCAGTATGCAGTGAACGGCTGCTGATAACAGCAGACCCCTCTGCACATCTGTGTCCGGTTTGAGCGATAAAGGTTCAGAGAGGAGAAGCGTCTTTTCTCGGTCACTCAAACGCCACCCCACCCACCGCTTCTCTCTCGGCTACAAGCAGCCTGAGCCTCCGCCGGCTTGATAAATGCGAATATCTCGGAGTACAAATGATAAGTAAATCAAACGGCTGCTAGCATTTGCTGACATTTAATGCACCAACATTTGTTTCACTGTTGTAAAGGGGGGCGCTTTTCAGAGCAGAAAACAAATCTTCTTCTCCCCCTGCGTTATTTATTCGTTTTTTTTTCTAAAAAAAATCAGTGTCTTGCTTTTTTGCGCTAACGTGCGCGGACTCTTAATGTCTGCTGCCCCACCTCATTTATCAGCTGTTTGCCCGCTTCTTGATCTCGGTATCCTAAGCTAAATGCTTTAACCGAGTTACTCTTTTTTTGTTCCCACCTCATTACACTCGCAGTTGCTCGAATATTTAATCCCTTTTGGTAGGATACACGTTGCTCGATTATAGCGGTCAGAGATTGACCCACGACACGACACCGATTCATGTATGGAACGAAGCAGGTAGCACTGAGAGAGAAAAGGCGATTAAACTGAAGTCACAAACGCAGCACAGGAGAAAAATACTGTTAAAGCGCGTAAAGCACACGTGTATTCCGCACAGAGACCGAAAGGGAGATATATATATATATTTGGTTACACTGAGTATTAATTAATCCCGATGACAGCATTCTGCTGCTAAACACGGGAGACGCAGGAATGTTGGTTTGCAGTTTTTCTGACCCCCAGTGTATTTAATCAGGCGACCCTCGTTAGGTGGAGGCCCGGTGCGATGCACTAGGTGGCTAATGACATGGTATTAATTACCCCAAAGATTTTTTTTTTCGTATTGAGGCGGACCTGTCTGTATTGCAGCTCATTTCTTAACAGTCACAGCCACAGTACCTCGTTCTCTTCCGTGGACAGTTTCCAGGGCAGTTGGAGCTGGGATCACCCAGCAGTGAGCAGTGTAACACAGCCCAGGCGACAGCTGCATAATTTCAGCGATGTACTGTAATAACCATCCAGTGTAGTGGCAGCGGCAGTAGCAGCAACAGCAGCCGTGCAGCGTTAATTCTTTTACCGAGGAGTCCATTGAAAAACACCGCTCAACGCACGGATTCACAGATGGGTAGAAGTGGACGCCTGTGAACTTGACGCTTTTATTATAAATATTCTATATCACACCTGCTCGTGATGTTGTACGGGTTAATACAAGCTTTTTAGTTTCATTCCCTTAAAGCATCTCGGTTCGGACATAGCGGCTGGTGTCTTTTGGAGAGCATTTATGTTTCCCGTCACCCAGTTAAAAGCGCATAAAAAATCTACTGACTCCAGCGGCAGAGCCTTGCAGTTTATTAAAAAACGTGATTCATTTCGACATCAACCACCCCTGGCTATGAAAACGATTAAGTTATTCCTCGATTGGGAAGAGCTCAGCACCATTCCGTTCTAGTAAAGATTGAGAAAAGGCACATTTCGGATTATCCTGTTGTGAGAAAAAGACGGTTTACTCTGCTTAAAACACAGAATGGACACCTGTGGGACTGACTACCTTCTTGTTGATTGCGAAAGTCGAATGGGATCATTAAAACCATAACTCGCTACCGTTTTACGCATTCCGACTTCTTGATAACTTTGAAAAGGAAACGGCAATTTCCGAGAAAGTAAACAGGGGCGTCTTCAGTTGCAAACCTGTGTGGTAGCAAATGTTTTGGAAGCACGGGATGACTAGAGAGAGGAAAACTTGGAAAAAAAATTAATATGTGAATTTCCCTTTGATTTTATTTTCCTGCGATTCCGACGGTTTTTATTGTAAAGATAGCTAGGGTAGTAAAAATCCAAGAATAAACGTATCAGCATCTAGCAGACGTCTGTTTATGCGGTTGGGTTTATTATAGTTATTCGCTTATTCGCTTCGGGTGCATTTAATTTCAAATCTGCTCGGCTAGATCTACGATCCGCTGCATTGACTTCTTAGTTCAGCCCCATTCCGGCGGGGGAGTGCGCTATGCTAATATCAGTCATTTCTCATTGCCACTAAATCTCTGTATTACAATATTAAGTACAGCGGCTTCACACAGGATTTCATCTGGTTAGTCGTAAAGGGCTAATTTTTAATATTACACGCGAGTGGCTCTGTAGAACCACAGCTGAGTATAAAAAAGCCAAAAGGAGCCAGGAATCTGGACCTGCCTGTTAGCGCTTTTTTTTCAAGCACCACTTTTCGATGGACAGCGTTAAAACAAACTGGCGGCGTGTACGGCACTGCTCGAGTTTCTTTCGGATCTGTGCACGGTGGATTGAGTGAACTGGAATAGAAGAAGACAGCGTGCTGGGAGATGGTATAATTATTTACATCACTCCAACGAGCGAAACAAGCATCTGTGTTTTGCACCCCGACAGCAATGTGTGTGTATAGGTTAAACAATCCTCCGCAGGGCCAGCGATAGAGTCAGAAACGAGCGTGCTTTTTGCAGCTCGAATCTTTGAAATCAAAGCGAAGAAGAGGTACAAGATGCTCTGGATTCAACGTAGGGCTGCGAATTCTTGAACGCGGAGCCTCATCGTTTTGTTTGGATTGTGAAATCTGACCCCCCACACACACCGGAATTCTGTCCAAGGTAAGGCGTTTCTTCCACAAACCGGCACTTTCTTGACTTGCAAGGAAATCCGACAAGGTACGCTCTGACATCGCAGAGCGTACTTTCAAGATCCGGAATTAGTTGACAACAGAGGGAGTGTGTGTCGGCAACTGAGAGACTATGTATTTTCCTTGGCTGGGTTTTTATCTCGCAATTTATAAAGATACAGCGCAAATATCGTATGTGAAAAGCATGTACCATATTATACGTTTAATTGCATACGTTTTCCTACTTTATATAGACTGCTTTTGTCTTTTAGGGAAACAGTGTCTACTGTAACATGACATGATTTAGACCATAATCTTTATAATCATTAGTTACAATATGGGAGTCCATTGGATAATATCAAGACTATTGCAAAAATTACATTCTATAATGTAAAGTGCTGCTACATTGCAATGTTTAGTCGTGAATATAGTCTCGGTGAAAGTTTAGTTTTGCACACAAATTCGAAAGTTTTCAGTACTACAAATTAGTTTTATGACCAGTTACTGCGATTACTCTAACATACCCCAAAGCGTCGGCATCGCGTCTCAATTGTTTTTAGAAATATTATATTGCTAAATATGCCCAGAGACATGAAGGGCGAAAGGAGTTTTTACTGGTTAGTTTCAATCTCTGGTAGTCAAGCGATAAGAAACAGAAGCTGTCCAGTAAAGATAAAAGATGTGCGCCTGTTTTACTTCTCATAAAATGTATTTTTTCTGCCTTTCCCCGATTTGGGCATAGTCGGTCTTTGATGAAGCAATTTGCATATTTTTTTCAATACAACACCTGCTGAGGAGCCAATGCAATTCATGTGTACCCCCTCTTCTCTCCCTTGGTCTTTTAAATACGAAAGCTGTTAATCCGAGTCTCAGTTGACGTGTTCACGCCCCCTGCAACATAGTCAACATCAGGGAACAAAGAGAAATTCTCAGGATTTGTTTCCAAGTCGTGCCTTTTTTTCCGCTACCGGAGGTATGTGCAGAAGAATTCCCTCTAGACATTCTGAAGCGCATAGGCTGCCTCAGTTGACGGAGATCGCCGCAGATCCTTGAACAAGGAGCCCAGCGTTCGGCTTTGCTCTCGCCACTTTCAGCCTCTGCCTCTTACCCGCTTTGCCCGTTCTCTCCCGCTTTCGTCCACGTCTGTTAGATTCACCAGTGAACTTGAACTCCGGAAACAAGAAAATGTAAATAGATGATAATAAGAAGAATTAAACATTTCAGTGACGTTTTGCAATCAAGATAAAGCTACACAAATCTGTAGTGTTTTATTACTATTGCTATAATTTCTGCTGCTGCGTTTTGAGTACTAGTGCTGTGAAGTATTTTATTCTTAATTGGATGCCAGTTTTGACCATTGTAAATTCTAACTGTAGAACATTAGCCTGTATGCACTGTATGTCCCTAATCCTGTATTTGAAGGGAGATATTCTGCTTATTATCCTTTATGGAGTGAATGAGACAACAAATACTGCCTATGGGAGTCCTGCTGGGTTGGGACGGGACACTGCTTCTTTAGGAGGTAATCCAGATGCAGCTATGCCACAGGATGTACTGTAAAAGGTGATGCATAACTAAACACGTTACCCAGCCCTTACTCAGCTACTGATGCATTTAACATGTTGCCTTGAAACTGTACCAGAAGCCCAGTCCATGGTATTCACAATGCATGCCTCTCTATAGTGTGGTAATGAAAGGAGTTCCAGTCCTCGCACATTACTGAAGAGGAAATAGATGAAGTAAAACACTGTACTGAAATCTCAGCCAAAGTCAGTTTCGTCATTTGCCTGCAAACAGACCTTAAGAACAGGTTAATCTATATTAATACTAGTTCTGATGTAGATACTTTCATTGAACAAACAGTGCACATTACAGTACCTTAGGCTGTATGTTCTAGATTTTGCACTCTATCTCTTAAACTGCACTCTCATGCAGAATGTCTGGAAAACACCGTTTTGAAAATATGATTTACTTGACAGTAGCATACACACACCCACCTGCTTTTCTACAGAGATTGGGAAATATCTGCTTCATAATAACTGAGGCCAATAGGCATTCTACTCTTTGTTCAACATTACTCTTACTGTTATGTTTTAGCATAGAATACTAGTACCTGAAAGTCAGTTAACACACAGTTTCTCTCTGCACTGATCTCCATATTCTTGATGTGAACAAGATCTGTCTAAATTGGATTGAATTGATCACTCCGGTGCCAATAAGTCACTAGTGTAATACAGCCTATGGTAAATCGGTGAAGGTGTGTGTGCTGGGTGTGTGTGTGTGCACTATACAGTATGCTTTATGGCTTTAAATTGTTAAGCAAGAAAACAGCAACAGACATATTGGGGGTATGTGATGCTAACTTCTCTTACATTTTAAAATTTGAGATTCCTTTTTAATCCCTGTAAGCGAGGGAAAGATGCTGAGTTTGCTTCTTCTGCATGGGTTATGAAAGATACTGGCTGGATGAGACACATAGACTGAGGGCATTGCAATATCGTGCTAGGGACTCCCCAGCTGCTCTACAGTATAACTGGAAAATACGCATATTAATATTTGACCACCTGAAACCAGGGTCACAGTACATTATTCTTGGTGGTGTTTCAAAAATTTTTTAGTGGGCTACACACCAAATAAAAAAAATAATATTTGGAGATTGGAGCATAGATATGAATGCCCCCCCCCCCCCCCCACTGTGTTGAACAGTTAAGGAATTGACTCTTTCCTATACTGTGCATGTAGACATGATGAATGCAAACTGACAAGTACTAGTAGCTGTCTTATCAATTACTTCTCAGATGTAGGTGCAGATACCTGATGGTATAAATCGTGATTATCTACAATAAGTGTGTTGTGAACATCAACAATTCATTTAAAGCCCCCATTAGCATTTCCTACTATTATTACAACTTCACCATTTATTAACACGGGTTAATATGGGTGTGAGGAAATCAAGCCTGTCATTTTGCAATCTCTAATTCACATTGTGAGAAATTTTAAAAACTACTCTAGGAGAACTATATATGAACAGTATTGTAGTATCTAATCCATCAGATTTAGCAATCCAGTTTAGCTGATTGTCGGGTGCTTCATTCCCCAAGTCCAGAAAGCTAAAAGACTGCGTTTGAACTACAAAACAATGTATCAGGCCTGACTTATTTTATAAAATGGGTAGCATTTCAGTAAAAGCTCACCATGGAATTGGTTCTGTACAAAGAAAAACACTGAGTGAATAAGAGTAGAACAATAGAAAATGTCCATGTCTTTTGTTCAGCATTTGTCATAAAGTACGTTTTCAGACACGTACTCTCCCTTTTGAAATACAGGAGTAAAGCATTTGTCTCATAGAGCTCTGCTTTGCCTCTGCCGGTATTCGATCACAGTGACTTGTGGACTCAGAGTGGACACAGTGTCACGCCGTAGACTGCAGCAACCTCCACAGTGGCAAATGAGCAGGTCTCCTGCACTGTTTCAAGGAGGCGACTTCACTTCTGTAACACACTCGGTGCTACTGAGCCCTGTTACACTAGCTGGTCCTCTGGGAGGGCTGCCAGATTCTACTCTTCACCAGTTGTTTCTGAATTTGACAGGAAGTGATCAGACATTTCCAGTTGATGTTGGGTGTATCTGCAAGCTTGCTCTGTGCTTCCTGTTTTTTTTTTTGCATTTTTGCAGGTGATGTGTTCCGATTTGTGGAAAGCTGCAAGGTAGGGTATGATGTGTAGCAGTTTTCAGTTTCCAGCTCGTGTCCAAAAATGGAAGAATTTTCCTGACAGATTCAACAAAGCATAAGCAAAGTGAAGCCTTCGCAGGTCAAAGAGTTATGGAGAGCAGTTTGGAGGAATCACTCATAGTGCCCCCAAGCGCTGTGTCTTTTTTTAAAAAAAGAACATCCTTTTGTCTCTGTGCTTTGTTTCGCAAAATGAATAAAAAAGTCTGCATCACCTTGACAATTCAGAAAGGCTGAGGCATGTTAAATGTTTTTTTTTGCTACCCTGCAACAGAACCTATATCTTGCTATTCTCCTTTTCTGCCTTACTGTATCCTAAAGAGATATTCACGAGGATTAATGGCAACACCGGCTAATTAAGAATTAGATGTGTTTCGGGATGTTTGTAGAGTAATTAGACAGTGAAATTTGGCGTAAACCACTTGGCTGAGGGCCAGCCCCGTGGTCATAGGGTGAGGGTGCACTAGATGAAATGTAATTTCGAAAATAGGAAGGGTTTGCATATTTATATATTTAGCTTTGAGAAATTATGTTGGGAATGATTATGAATTATAACAACCAGACAAAGGCTTGTTTTATCATTTTCCCTCCCAGATTTCAGTTAAGAGCTTCCATTAAACAACAAGTACTCCCGTTTTGATGTTTACTCTAGTAGTCAAATCTCACAATGCTCCAGTATTTACAAGTTGGTGTTCAACTTTTTAATCATAAGTATTATGAACACCACTTGTTTTCCACTTGTTGAAATATTAAATATCAAGAAAATATGAACATTAAGCTGTTGTTTAATTCCAGATCAATGAGGGTACATGCAAAAGCTAAATATTCATATTTCTTTCTTAATATTTAATACTTAGTTTTGTCCATTAAAGCACTAACAATGTAGTTTTATTATCAGTTACCCATAACATTTTTTTTCTTTTTTATTGCTCTGTTTCTCTGTGACTGAAAACCCAAAAGCCAAGACTCATGTTTGCAGAGGCAAAGGGAGTTCGCACGTGGGTGTTCCAGGATGATTTCTGTAGGAATTGCAATGACTACGTTGTATTTTTCTCTGTGTTTGATATAAAGATGTGTCAAACTGTACTGCCACAGCATGTTATTTAGGTGTCATAAAAAACGAACTGAGCCTTTTGTGCCACTATGATGCAAGACAAAAGAACAAACATAAATGGACTGAAAATCCTGCTTTTATCTCTTTAATTGAAAAAAATATATATAATTGTGTACAATTAAAAGGAAAAAATCATGTCTAACAATCT